ATGGGGTGGGTAGAAGAGTCACCTCCACCTTGTGAAGGGCAAATTGGGTGGGTTTGATGAGAAATGGGGGGGGGGGTTTAATTAAAATAGGGTGTTAATTGAAGGGTGGGACTGGGAAAGAGGTGTTTTTTCCTGGGAATGTTCCCAGGAAAGTCCCCAGGGCAGAGTTATTCCCAGATTTTCTTGCTTCCCAAAGGGTCAAGTGTCACTTAGTTCCCTCTTCTTGGGCTGTTTGTGCCCAGGTGGGGGGTCCCTGCTTGGGGTGCTTGAAGCTGGAAGGTGGGGAATCAGCTTAGAAAACCTCTCCTGAAGTTGGAGAGTTCCAGCCCTGGGTGGAGAGGAGGCAATTAAAGGCAATTAATGGATTGGGAAATGATCTGATGAGGAGGCAGAGAAATCACAGGGATGAAATGAATTCCCATTAATCCCCAATTAATTCCTCGAGGATGATGATGGTTCTGGCAACAAGTGCCCAGTGATTTCATGCTAATGGGACACTCCAGTAATGGAGCTGCTTGGTCCCTAAGTCACTGCCAGGAGATGAAGGTGACAACTTCTTTTTCCCCCCCCAAACCCCCTCACCTCTTGCTGGAGAAGAAGCCTTTGAAAAAAGAATCCATCTCAGGGTTGGAAGGGACCTCTGAAGATCATTGAGTCCAACCTCCTGCCAGGGTAGGACCAAAACCAGGGCAGGTCACTCAGAAAGGCATCCAGGTGGGTCTGGAAAGCCTCCAGAGATGGAGCCTCCACAGCCTCTCTGGGCAGCCTGGCCCAGGGCTCTGTCACCCTCACAGGAAAGAAGTTCTTCCTCATGTTGAGGTGGAACTTCCTGGGCTCCAGTTTGAATCCATTGCCCCTCATCCTGTCCCAGGGCACAAGTGACAAGAGCTTGTCCTCTCTTCTTGATGCCCTCATGTATTGAGAGACATTCATTAGATCCCCCCTCAGTCTCCTCTCCAGACTGAACAGCTCCAGGTCTCTCAGCCTTTCTCCATCCAGCTCCATTCCAGCCCCTTCATCATCCCTGTAGCCTCCCTTGGACTCTCCCCAGTAGATCCCTGTCCCTCTGGAACTGGGGAGCCCAGAACTGGACACAGCACTCCAAGTGAGGTCTCACCAGGGGCAGGAGAACCTCCCTCCATCTGCTGGACACACTCCTGATGCACCCCAGGACACCACTGGCCTTCTTGGCCACCAGGGCACATATTTGTCCCTGGAGAACTTATTGTCCACCAGGACTCCAAGGTCCCTCTCCACAGAGCTGCTCTCTAGCAGGTCACCTCCTGGCCTGCCCTGGTGCCTTTGGTTGTTCCTTCCCAGTTCCTCTGCACTTGTTGAACCTCATGGGGTTCCCCCTCCCCCTCCTTGTGGCTGGAAGTGCCTCCTCACCCATCCCAGGCAACCAGGGATCCAGGAAGCAGCTCATCTCTGCACATCATAAAAACAAGTCATTTGAGGTATGAATGTGACATGAATTCTTGAAGTAGAAGCACCTGCTGAAAGAAGAGCCCAGCCTAAACCTTGATGGCATCTCCTAGACCTCAGCTCTGCCCCCTCTCTCAAAACCTGTCAAATAATTCTAATCATGACAATAATAATGACAATAATAATTATAATAATATTTCAGAAAGTCATTTTTTCCCCTTCCCTTTCTTCTTCTTGGGGTCTTCCTCTGCCTTCCTTGCTGCCAGGGCTTTGCTCCAGGCTTGTCCCAGGGGTGTCCTGGCATACCAGGCCTGGAGGATCAAAGAGAACATGATTAAAATCTAAAAACCATGAAAAAAACCCCCACACTCTGACATTTTTTAAGCTACTATTCCTTAAAATCAAGTCTAAATCTTAAAAATCCTGATGAAATACCAGCTTGGGGAGAATTTTTAAGGTTCCTTCTCAACCACTCCAGGATTCTATGTGTCCTTCAAGGCTTTGGTGGCACCTGATTTGGGTCTTGCAGGTTAATCCTGTCCCAGAAATTCCCTTTGCTCAGGTTTGTTGTCCTGGCTGGAAAAGGTTGGTTGGGATAATGCGAAAAAAAAAGAGGAATTGGAGGAAATACCACAAAAGCTTCCAAATAGAAAGTGGAATTAAACTGGAGAAGGCTGGTTGGGCCATCACCCAACACCCAGAGCCTGGGAAACTGTTCCCATCAGGAGGGAAAGCAAAAGGAGAAGGGGAATTCACCACTAGATTGAACTATTCCTACCCTGGGGAGAAGAAATAATGATAAACAACTTGACCCTCCACATGGAGCAGACCCCAGGTGTCCAAGACCATCCAGCCAAGCTTGCTGAGGAGCTCAGCCCTAACCAAACCCAAGCCAAGAGGCTTTTGGCCAGTTGGTGTCACCTGGAATGCTTCTTCCTCCTCTTGGTACACGGGCTCCAGCCTCCCCAGGGAGACCAGGAATTCCTCAAGCCCCAGGGGCTGCCTGTCCATCTGCAGGAGCCGAAGATCCTGGAGGACACCTTGAACTGCCTGGAGGATCTTGCCTTGGGTGAAACCATCAGACACCTCAGCCAGGCTGGTGAGCTTCAGCCTCCTGGTGATCACCCCTCCATGCTGCAGGATGAAGTGTCTCCATAAGGCTGGAAGGAGGGAGAAGGACAAGGGGCCTTGAGGGAAGGTGGGCTTGGGCATTTGGAGGTGGCAGGAGGAGGAGAAGAGGGGCTGTGAGAAGCCAAAAGGGGTGTTTCCCTGGGTTGCTGCTTGACTTGGAGCCTCCACCTTGGTTCTTCAACCACGAGTGAAGGTTTGGTGGCTCCCAACTAGGACTTCCAGAAAGTCATGCTGTGTGAGGTGGAGAAATGTGGGTGAAAGCAGGAAGAAACCCCTTCAGTAGTCCAGAATGTTAAAGGCTGAACTTATTTGTGTCTTCTACTGAGTCTCTGGGCCATGAAGGAGCTTTAATACTTGAAGTGCCTGGTGGTGAGGGTCCCAGATTTGATGTCTTCCCTGATCTGTGAGGACCAAAGTGGAATTTAAGAGTGATCCACCTGAGCCCTCCAGCCATAGTTCTGTTCATGTTCTGTGGTTGGTTGGAGTCAAGAAACTGGAGAGGAAACAGAAATTCAGGCTCCTTGGGGTAAGAAAGAGATGCCTGATGGAGAAGTGTGGTTTGGAAGAGGACCTGAGTGGGGAAAAAATAGGATCACAGAGAAAATACCAGCTTGGGGGCATCTTAAAAATGCTCCTCCTGGTATCTTCCAACCAGAATGATCCTGTGATTGATTTTTTAAGGCCTTCTCCCCGTTTTTATTAGCTGATGTGAGGGGCACCTGGACCTCCAGGAAGTGCAGAAAGGACTGGGAGCCTCCTGGCTGAGGTTCAGGGCAGGTCTGAGGAGCAGGAGGACATGAGCAAGGGGTAGATCATCATCATTTGAAGAGTCATCACTACCAGTTGGGAATACTTGCCATGTCTGGAGGCATAGTCAGGCCTTGGGACCAGGAGGATCTTCTGGTAGAGCTTGCAGAAGGGTTTGGGTTTGGCCTGGAAGGGTTGGGAGGTGGTTCCCACCAGCAGGACTCTGTCCTGGGCTTTCAGAGCCTTCAGGAACTCAGGGAGGAGCTTTTCCAGGCTGCTCATCTGGCACAGAGGTGGGGAGAGAAGGAAGAAGAGAGGTGTCCTCAGGGCTCAGGAGGTTGTGGTGGAAGAGCAGGAAGGAAATTGGTTTTGCAGAAGGAAAGAGCCAGTGGAGAGGGAGTTTCTGCTGGGACCTGTGCACCTGAGGAACCTGCTCTGGGGTTTTTGGATGGAACTGAGGGTGGAGCCCCCCCCCCCCCAGCTCTCAGAGGGGATGACCTACTAACTCCTCCCTGGGGGTTCCAGGCTTGAACTCCAATTTCCTTCTCTGAAATGGGGATTTAATTTGCTTTTAACCCCCCTTTCTGCTGGCTGAACCAGCCTCAGGCACTTCTACCTCCATGGCTCAGAGAGGCCCCAGGTGTCCCTCCTCTCCATCTGCCCTGGGAGGGAGTACAGATCTTCTCCAAGATGTTTTGAGACATCAACATTGCTCTTTCTTTCCCCCTCCTGGAGCTCTAAAAGTGGAATCCTTCTCTGCCCTGGGATTCAAGAAGGAAAGAAGCAACTCACCTCTCCTCCAGCCTTTGACCCAGCTTTGGAGAAGACTTTTTCTGCCTCTCCAACCCAAACCACTGAAGGCTGCAACTCCTTGGCCACCTGAGGGGAAAGGGAGGAGGAGGCTGATTTAAACAGCTCCACTTCTGTGCCTCAAATCCTGCTTTTAAACCCCAATTTCAACAGTTCAAACCAGCCTGGTTGATTTGTTTCCCCCCCTAAAATGTCCAACCCTCTCCTCAGCATCTTGGTTGATCCCATTTCCAGCTTGGGAACCCCAAGGGGAGCATTTTGGCTGTTGTTGAAAGGGAAATGAAAAAGAAATTCATTTCCCAACCTGAATTCCCATGTTAATTCTGAAAAAAAGAAGCCTTAAATTTGGACTTGTAGCCTCCTGGAAGATCCCTCCTTGGTTGGCCAAGGGTGGTGCTGCTTCAGGAACATCTCATGTGTCCTCCTCTCCACAAGCAATTCCCTGCCTGACAAACCAGCTTTTAATTAGCAATTAACCCAGGGATTCCACAGGAACCTGCTCAGGTGGAAAGGGAAGGGTCTCCAAATGGCCTTCCCAGCTTGGAGATGGAGGTTCTACCCCAAGTTCCCAGCAGGATGGTCCAACACACACATCTCGTGGCTGGAGGAACAGCAGAGGTTTCATGTCAAAATGGATTAAAAATGGGGGGAAAAAAGGGTGGGGGAGGAATTTTCACCTTGTTTGTCAGGGGAGAGTGGAAACCCAGGCCAGCTTGGCTTGATTTGTGGTGACTCCTCAGTCCTGGAGGGCATCAAGTGCTGCCTCCAGGCTCAGAGTGTTGAGGAGAAGGGAGTTTTGTGGCTCCTTGGAGGGCAAAACTCAAAGGTTTTGTGTTCTTAATGAGGATTTAAAGAAGGAAAACATGATGAAAGGGGAAAACCCTGCAGGAAGGGAGGTGTGGGGCCAGGCAGCTGGGTGGCTTCATGGGCTGGGGGGCTTGGGGAGACAAGGGGGGGCAGGAAAGCCACCATCAGGGAGTAGAATTAAGACTTCAAGAGTGAACCACTGGTGTCCTCAAGCTGCTAAAAACCCTCCCTACATCCCAAACCTGCAGTGGGGCTGGAAGCTGCCTCAGAACCTGCTCTGCCAAAGGATGGGGCATCACCTGGGGGTCCCTGAAGATCCTGGTGGTGACTCTGACCTCCTGAAACGTGGGGTAACAACCCATGGGGGGGACAACCTCAGGTTTGCAGCCCAAATTGGTGCCCCCAGATCCAACACTCTGTTTTTTGGGGGGCTGTTTCTGTGTGTTCTTTCCCAGCCACCCAGATCTGACCATCACCTCATTGCTCCATCGAGGACTTTATATTCCCCCCCCAAAAAAATGAGAGTTCTCCGTTGGAATTCTCCACGGGTGGTTTGAATCCGTGGCTAATGAAGCCCTAATGAAGCCCTAATGAAGCTGTGATGAGGATGAGCAGTTGGTGGGAGCTGCCACCAGGTGGCTCCTTCAAACCTTCTAACCCCCGGGATGTGGCTCCTTCCAGTCTCCTCCCCAAAGCGAGAGGGAAAGAATTTGACTTTTGCATCTGAAAGGAATTAAAGTTGCATTTCCCCCCCCGTTTTTTTCCCACTGGCTGCGGGTGTGTCCGTGGAGCAGCCGCCAGCAGCCAGCACAGCTCCAGCTCAGCTCTTCGCAGCCACTTTCTGCTCCCTCCAGAGTTCCCTTCCATCCCAGGAATGTCTGTAGAAACCAGAACCACTTTCCTCAGAGCACCAGGAATCCGGATTCACCCCATCCTGGCGTTTCATGGTGAAACGGAGCCCGAGGGAACAGGAAAAGCACCTCCCAGGGGAAGGTTTGAAGGTCTGTGTCCTCCTGGTGGGACCCCCAAGACCTTCTGAAAGGCACTTTGTTTGCTTCCCTCTCCCCAGGGAATTTCTCTGCCCCCTGTGGTTGCTGCAGGAGGTTTCTGTGGGTCAGGATGACCCCAAATTCCTTCTCCTTTCCTTCTTAGTGGGATGGTTTTCCAATCCTACCAAGGGAAGAGCTCATTCCTGAAGGGCTTGGCCAGCAGGTGGTGGTGGGATGGGTGCAGACAGGCTTCAATATTTAAGAGACATATATGTTTATAAGCAACAAAACCTTCCTATGTTCAGCTGGAACCTCCTGCAGAAGTTCTTGCTGTGGGGTTTTTTCCTTCCAAGAGGATTTTATCTGGGAATCTTTCCCTTCCTTCACAGAAACACTGAGGACTTCACATCCTGGCAGGATTTCTCCTGCCTTTTGTCCTTTTAACATCTTCTTAAGAAGATGGGGGAGATGCTCCTCAGAGGCAACTCCTGACCACCCCCAGGGCAGCACTTGAGGAGCTGTAGCTCAGGTGGTTGGTGAGGAACTGAACCCACTCTGCAAAGCAAACCCCCAAAATCAGCACCTTGAGGACCATGTGGAGCAGCAGCTGCATCTCCTTCCTGCTTGGGAACTTCCCAGCAAGGTTGGAAGCAGACAGGTTGAAGAGGTTGGCTCCTGTCTCCCTGCAGATGGCATGGACCAGCATCTTCTTGCCAACCCCAGCAGGCCCAGCAAGCAACAAGGCTTTCACCAGAGGAGCCCTCTCATGGACTGTTGGGGAACCTGGAAAAAAGCCACGTGGCACCATGACTGCCTTCACCCCAGCCTCACCAACCTCCTCCTTGGCTTCTTGTCCTTCTCCATGAGGAATTCATCATGTGGATGGGATCCTTCCTTCAGCACAAGAGCCCTGGAGTTGGATTCTCCACCCCCAGGGCTGTGCTTGCAGCAGGTTGGGCTCCATATCTGGGCTACATTGGACTCAACACCCACATGTTTTGGACCTTCTGATGGGCAACCCTCCCCTCTCCATCTGTGTGACCTCAGAGCAGGGTCATTAATTGGTCACAAAGTGCTTGTTGGGAGCAGTGCTGGTGGGGGGGGAGGACCTGGGGCTTGGGGAGGACCTGGGGTCACAGCTGGGTTTCCAAATCCACCCCAACCAGGCTGCACATCCATGTCCTCATGGTTCAACCCCCCAAAGGACAGCCCAGGAGCTGGGGGCTGAGATGAAAGCTGCTGCTTTGGGATGCAGGGAAGCTGCCAGGCACCCAAGGTTTGGTCATTCCACCCTGGTCTGTTCCAGTGAGCCATGGGTTTAGGGGGAGGGGAGCAGGAGGCTCCTCTGGGCTTCACAGATGAGGCAGATCTTCCATCATCCCCCCTTGCTGCTCCTTCCCCTCCCTCAAGCCCACCCACCTGGAGGTTGCCCACCAGGTGACTCCTTGGAGGGGGGAAACCAACCCTCAATTCTCCCACTAATTAAGTTTGGAGGCCAATTAAGTAGAAGCTCATCACCCAGGAGGTGAACCCACCCCTGAAAGATCCCCCCAAACCATCCCACCAGGAACAGGGGAAGGATGAGGAAGGACTTTGTTGCCCTTCCCCCAGTTATGGGCTGGATTCCACTGTCCCCGTGCTTAATTAATGAGCAATTAAGGAGCTAAATGAGGGGGCTCTTACCGAGGGGCAGGATTCCATAGAGGGACACCAGGTGCCTGATGGCTGAAGCAGAGGGCACTGGGATCTGTTCCTTCTGCTGGAAGCTGGAGGAGGTGCTGTCACCTGTGGGGGGAGACACTGTGGGGAGGGTCCTGTGGGGCGTGGGTCTGGTCCTGGAGGGTGTGGGGAGGGTCCTGGAGGG